GGAAAAAAAAATCCTCGAGGATACAAACGTCGAGGGTAATAATTACGAGTAATTATAATTATCGATACGATTCGAATTATATTAGCGAGGATATTAAAGAGAGAAAGAAGAATACGAGCGTAACCAAGAGACGACTATACGCTGGAGAGAAATTAATATTGAAAAGAGTTCCCCCCCCTCCCCGGTTTGTTTTTCGCAAACTTCGATTGCCCCGTGGCCATCGAACGTACGAAACTCCTTCGGTTTCGGTTGAAAGTTTTCGTTTGGCGCAGTTTGTTGAACTGAAAGAAAAAGAAAAAAAAAAAGAAAAGAAAATATTTGAACGCGACGATCGGGGCGATCGATTTCCATTTTTTCGATTTCCATTTCGGTTTGCGATCGTTGCCCAGCGTATATTTGAGTAACTCGATCGAGAGTAGAAAGATCACGAATGACCATTAATAAAATACCATTTATTCTGATACATCGGTTTATTTCATACCCATCATGTCGTGTAGTAAAAAAAAAAAAAAAAGAAACTACGATACAAACTAACAATCCGTTCTTCTTCCCCCTTCGAAATTTTCCAAGTTCAAAAAAAAAAAAAGAGAAAAAAGATCGATCCGCTGCTTCTTCTGCAATTAAACTCTCGTCTCGGTCCTTCGTCTTTTATTCATCGTCTTAGACGTATTTTAAAAAAAAAAAAAAGGATTTTTTTCTTTTCTCAAAATTATTATTCGCATGGAGCCAGCTGACACCTGGATCGACGCTGAAGTTTCTTGGGACAAGGATTCCCTCCGTTTCGTGCCTCTTGCTGAATATTTCAAATCAATACGCGTTTATTAAACTAATCCCACGAAATAGACTCGATTTTATTCCGCTCACCTGAATCGTGCGAAAACTGGTCACGCGGCCTGTGCCGCAAGAAACGCTGCAAGGTGTCCAAGGTGACCAACCGCTCACGACACAATGGACAGGTGCCAGAGCTGGCGATATTGGGGCGACTTGAGCGTCAGTCGTGTTGAACGGTTGTCCGCTGAGAATCGCTCGTACCTGAAAGTAAACGAACACTTTCCTCCTCCCGTTAACGATCCTCCGTAACGAGCAGAGCAAGCACTCACGATGCCACAAGTATTGTTGCACTCCTCGGCCGTTAAGAAGTTGTTCCTGTTGCCACGACAACCGCCGTACACGAACGGTACGCACATCAACTTTTGAGAAACGAACGCCCATCTCTGGAAATATCCTCTGCAGGGTCCAGCGTTCGGTTCCTCCATGCAAACCACTACAAATATAAATCATTCGTCGATTTATCGTCGTCCCGTTTCTCCCCTTTTCTAAAAATGATGGTGCTTTTTTCACCTTTCGCAGTCGCCATGTCGAACGTGCAGTCAGCCTGGTCCAAGCACGGCCGTTGCTGGACCAGTTCCATTTTCGAGGAGCACTCTTGCTGTTTCGACGGGTCGACCATCAACAATCGGGTTCTTAATTTCACACCTTTTCCACAGGAGGCGCTGCACGGGGACCAATCCGACCAATCGGTCACCTGTGCGAAACGAGTTTCTCGAGCAAAGTTCTCCAGAAATTTGATTCACGGCGTGAATACGTGAGTGAAAATTGTCGCGATACCTTGCAAGTAGGATCGATCTGCTCCCCTAAACTGGGCGAGCAAGGCGACTCCATGCATTTCATCCTCTCAACGAGGGACACGTGAGGGCAACGTTTACGACCCATCCGATCCTTGAACCGCCTTGTTCTCAGCTTCATCCCCACTCCGCACGTGGAGGAACACTCTGACCAGTGGCCCCAATCGGTTGTTTCGCAGAGAGCATCGTTGTTACCAGCAACGGCCAACGAACCAACACCATCATCCGTGTCCTCCTCGCCTCTGAAATCAAGTTCTCCGATATATACACATTTTCCACGGAAAATTTTTCGCCCTCGGAAAATTATATATACGTAAACGAGGATTCTCTCGATAAGATAACACTTACGAGCATTCCGGGATCGAGGAGACGCACATCTCCTTGGAGACCAATTGCCTGTTGCACTTGAACATGGCTGCCTTTTCGGGCATCAAATACGATCTCGTACGCATTCTCAATCCTTTGCCACAGCTCACCGAGCAGCTCGACCATCCCGTGTACTCCGTGGTCTGGCACTCGGCTGTGAGGAAGAAATAAATTGAGAATTTGTTTGCGGATAAAGAGGAATGGCGACGAAACGATTGGACGGATTTATTTTGGATTGTACGGTACGCCTGACAGTGTCCTCGGTGTTCTCGGCGACCTCGAGCTGGGCGACCTGCTGTTGGAGGACCTCCTCGTCGCAGCCCCGTGGAATAATCTTCTCTCTGGTCAAGTACAACCTGGCCAACGGCAGCATCGGTCTCCCGCTAGGGTCGTAGAACGGCGATCTAGGGTCTTCGGGATACAATGTGGTGATCGGTTTCATCTTCTCGCGCGGTGTCGTCTCCGAATTGGGCGACATGTACGAGATACCATTGTCGGTGCCGGCGTCCCAAGGGTACAGATCGATTATCTCGCTTTTCGTCCAGCTGCAATCTTTTCTGCATAGATTCAATTTGCTCACGCCGACCACCCAGTCCGGAGATGGTCCGAACATGGAAGCCACGGAGATCATGGGACGTTTTCTGTCCACTCTGAGGTATAAGAGATGGAAAGATAATGGTCATCTTTTTTCTTTTTTTTTGCAGAGAAAAATAAAATGGAATTGAAAAAATTCAATGGACGATTCTTAGTTCTTTCGGAGCAGAGGGATATCTACCTGAAATTGGTGGTCGTGTTACTGTTTACGTTCGGGTACCAGAGTCCAGCAGCTTTGATGAGGGTTCTCAATTTGTTAGAATTGGCTCTGAGCTCGGTCTCCACGCCGGACGCGGAGCCCCACTCGGCCAACTGGCGGAAGCCATCCGTGGCGACGTGCTCCTTACCCCAGAAGGAGAAGCTGGGCACATGCGAGGCACCGATCAAGTCGCTGAAGTGGGTCAGCCAAACGGAGAATGGGAAGTCCTTTGGATGGGTCACGTTCGACCAGATTCCCTCCATTATCAACTGGAAACGGGGAGGAATCTGTGTGAGAAGTCGCCGATATTCCTCTCCTCGCTTTCACAGACCAGCCTTCTATCACGAAGTACCGAGCTGCGGGCAGCTCGCCCTTTCGCTTTATCATCCCGTTTCGTTTCTTTACTCTACTTTTTACTTCTGTTACCAAAGAAAAGTAACGTTTTCTTACTTTGTTCGTACATATTTCACTCGTACATCGTTCCATTCTCTTTTCACCGCGAAACTTTGCCCGATTCGACGCGTGACGTTCTCATCGGAATTCTAAATTTCGTTGCACGCGAGGTGAACAGAGAGCTCAGAATCGTATTTCGCATAAGTTTTATTATATAATTATTCTTCGATATCCGATAATAATAATCGCTCGAATCGGATACACCGACAATTTTTCTAAACTTGTTGTTCTTAACGGATATTTGACAAGCCTCAATTATTCAAGTGTTTCCTATTTCGAGGTTATCTTTAATCATTTCGTCTAGTCTGACTCGAAATTTCCATAGGAAAAAACACGTTGGATTCCTCTTTTCACGAAACGAAATATTTATTCGCGCCTCTACGTCTCTCTCCAATAAATCGAGCCAAATAAAAAATCGAGAAATAAAATTGAACGATTGGAGAAACGTTAGGAGTCACGTGTGAGACAAATAAAATTAATTTTATAACTAACCGAGTACTTGGCCTCGTCGCAGGCGCAACACTTCTCCCCGTCCAAGGCCTCGACCTCGGCGGAGTCCATCTCGCAGAAGGTCTTGGTCAAAGCTCCATCCTCGGCGTACCAACGCACGTTATTCTCCAAGACCATGGCTGTGAAGATAACGCATCCTGATCCTGACGGCGGCGCCCTCCACATCACTTGGACCTGAGCCAAGGTAAGAAGACGTTTTATACGCGTCCCGTTGTGGCCACGATAACGCGATCGAATCAAACATATCTGACGGTTGGCCACCGGCCAACCATCAGAAATTTATCCGTTATCTGCACTGTATGTGTACCCACAATATCGTGAACCTTCGATACCTTTCGATAGAAAAAGAAAAAAAAAGAAGAAGAAGAAGAAAAAGATTCTATAAAGAGTAATTCACCTCGTTCTTCGGATAATCGGAAGCCTCGGAGATGGTATTGACACATTCCTCGTTGAAAGTGGTCAAACCATCGGGGAACAGTTGGAAGTATCCTACTCGAGCCGTAGGATTATTCGGCGCGTGTTGCGAGTTGACGGAGAGAGTGAAATGCGTGAACTGTTGCAATCTCTCGTGCGTTTGCGAGCCTGAAATCGTGATGTAAAATAAACGAATCGTTAATCCATCGAATTATTTCTCATCCCAAAAATAAATAAGACACGATGCATTTATCCTGAAAAGAAAACGCGATGTGCGCGTGAAATCAACTAGTGTTATTTGTAGCGAAAGGGTTAAATTGTTAAGGTTAAATCGCAAATATCATTTTGGGGTGAAATGATGGTTACCTTGCAAACTGATCGTGTAAACAGCGTTGGGAATATATTTGTCGGCCTTCCCGCTAACGAGTATCCTGTAACCACCGTCACCCGTGGTCCTCGAAGCGGAAGTTTGTTCCGCGGTCGGTCTCATAGGGCATCCGGCCTGCACCGTGATCACCAGACACGCTGTCACGGTCAGGAGCAGCATGATGAGGCTTGAAATGATCGATGCCCTCGATTCTGTCGAACGCAAATTATATATCCGACCGATCCTCTCGATGCAAGAAACAACGGAGCGAATCATTTGTGAATGGAACGGATTTATAGGAACGTTGAAGAAAGAAAAAGGACGGAGAAGCAAACAACGCGCGCGCGCTTTTGATCTTTATCCACGAATAGGCGACGATATCGGGAGGTCGTATCCTTGAATTGTGTCGAACGAAAGCGTATCGCGTATTTGTCGAGCAGAGAACGAATCTTTCACGAAGTAAAAGATAAAGACTGGAGTGTTCCCGTTGAGAAAGAATTTCGAAAGGAGCTTCATTCAATTTTTCGAATCAACTGTTCTCTCTTTCTCTCTCTTTGTCAAAGATTTTTCTCCGATCGATCCGCATGCGACACGCGTCGTCTTTCGTTCCCTTCCTCGACACGACATATATGAAACATGAAATTACGAGAGACACAATTCTATATAACTGTGATCGTGACGAGAAACTTCAACGCGAATTACGATCGATCGAGAACGAGCGGACAACGCGACAGGATAATAAATCGAATACTCTTCTCCGCGATATCACCCATTTGGATTTTCCGTTAACGGTCTTTGCTCGATGCTCGCTCGCCAATATTCAAATCGATCCCATAACGATGACTCAAAATACGTACACTCCTCCAGAATTTGTGTACAACGCAACGGAATTCAATTGCACGGAAACAATCGTGACCGTTTCGTGTCCATCAAATATATAATGCCAAGTTACGAAACGACCTCTGCATAATACACCAGATATGTATCTCGAAACGCGAGGTGGAACATTCTCTGCGTACACAGGACGACAGATCCTGAAACGACAGGTGGACAAAGAGAGGCGTGGAAGACGCGCGGGCGGGAGAGGAGAGTGCGATAAGCGGGCGGTTAATGATCGAGGCAGAGGTCTAAAAGAGATGCATCGGATTACGCGCGAGCGTGGAAGTGGGTCGGGAGTTCGAGATCTCTTTCTCTGTCTCTCTCTTTCTCTCTCTCTTTCTCTCGAGATCGCCGTTTCTCGACCATGTAGGTGTATAGGTTTCTAGAACGATGGACTCGTGTAGAGGAAGAAACAGGGACACCGGCGCGTTTCGCGAGCGAAAACTATGCACGTGCTTCCGCGGATTCCACTTTGAAAGTTTCGATCGAGTTTAATCTTTGGATACTTTCATTCGTAGACATAGGTTGGCAAACAGGTTAGGAGAAGATCGAAAAGCGGAAAGTAAAAGTCGATGGATGAGAGGAATGGAAAACCGACGAAATTTTAGCGGTAGAATAGAAACAGTTGGACGAATAAACTTGTGACTGAGATCAGATCGAAGTAGATGGAGTGGAGGGAAAAATACGACGAGTTGATGAGTCTTTAAATGAAATGATCGTTAGTCAGCGCGTCAAATTGATTCGAATCTGCTTTGTTCTCGTGAGAAATGTCCGCGAAGAATATTTTTTTATCGCGAGAAAAAGAAAAATATATTAACTTCGAATATTGATTTCTTATTTATCGACGAGGCGCAACGATCGATAAAGGAGGAAAAGTTTTAATCGATCCGTACCTTCTCGTTGAATCTTCTCGCCGAAATCACCGAGTTCTCGCTCGCTCTCGTGAATTTCACCAGAGAAAAGGACGATGTAAATTAACGATGAATCGCAGCGTCGTGATCGATCGTAAATTTGCCGAACGTACGAGCCGTGAAAAGAAAATGATCGCAGCGCGTCGTTCGCCAGTCTTCTCTACGGTTTCACGCCCCTCACTGATTTCGCCCGTGACTCACGACGCCTATTCGCAATTAAAAATAATAATCGTGCAGAAAAGAACACGCATGAACTTTTGAAATATATCGAAGAATCGATCGCAGTGATTAATGGTTATTGTTAAGAAGTTACAATTATGCACCTCGTGTTTATCGATCGTTCGAATTTTGTCACGTTACGAATATAGCGACGGAAGGAAGATAAGTAGCGGGCGACTACGTGTGTGGCGTGTATATTTGTTGTTTCGAAATAGGAAGAAAGTAATAAAGCCTGGGTGAAATAAAACGTGTCGAAACTTGAATTTACTCGAGTTCACGTTCCCCGGAAACGACAAATCGTGTATCGATAGACGAGTTTATAGATTGAATTACGATCGAAGACAATTTCCTCGAGAGTTAGCCTGGCGAAATTATCGCGAAAACTTACTTCTCGTAAACTTGGTCGCACGATTTCGTGGAAAAAGAAAAAAGAAAACTTCGATGGAGCGGATACGTCTCAACGAATTAGAAGCGTCGAACGAAACGTGACTTCTTTCGCGAGATTCACGTGAATCCTTATGGATTAAATTTTACGTTACGAGAATCCAGGAATATACATACAATGGTATGGAACGGTATCGTATGGAAAAAACGGTATGGTATGGAAAAAAGCTTCGTTTTTTTCCTTCTTGAAAATCGATGACAACGTTGCTCGAACAACGAATGCAAAGAATAAAAAATTTCACTCCGCGACTTTTTGAATCCGTTTTTTGAATCCGTTACGTGATAATGGAAATGAAAAAAAGAAAATTTAAAATCGCACACCTGCTACGCCACTGTACCGATGGGCTGAAAGACACAATTGCTTTCTTTCGGTTCTTTTTTTCCGCGCGGGCAAACGACGAAAAGTGGAGGTTCGCGTAGACGAATAAGAGCAGAACAACCGAGATGCAAGAACGATCGGGCACGACTAAACGAGATGACGAACCGGACGGCCGGTATCGCGGATCAGGAAAGTTAGCGGCGCCGATTCGAAAATGTCTGCTGCGGAAGCTCGCCCGCGCTTTCGATCCTTCCCTCGAAATCTCGAATAAAATTCAAGTCCACGTAAACGTTGCACAGATTGTCCTCTGCGCTTCGCGTCTCTTGAATTCGAATGGCTTCATATTCCGATAAATGGAAAAGATAGGAGGAAGAATAATAAAACATTTACCGTTTTCATAATTTAAACGATTAAAAAGAAATGGTTTAAATGGAACGTCGTGGATTTTATTTACGATTTTAGAAATTGAAGATATTGCGAGTCTCGTACATAGAGGCACGTAGTACGCAGCAACGCGACGAACCAGCAGCAAACAAAACTCGGCGGACATTATCTCGAGTCATGAGGTCAGTTTTGAATCGTCGTATCTCCCTGGAAGTAGCTTCAACTTTTAGATAACGCGTTCCAGATAGTAACCCACGTCCGCGTTCGCTCAATGTTTTCTTTTTCCCTCGACCAAATTCATGGAACTGTCCATATCTAACCATTCATTCGATATTGTAATTCGCATCTAGAGAAACTAGATCTATAACGTAATAACGTTACAAGAGATTTTTCTTTTGATATATTACGCATCGACAGATTAAGAAATATAATTATTTATTAATAATAAAAATTCTTATCTTGACTCGAGGTTATTAATTTTCTTTTAAAAAGATTAAAAGATTAGAGGATAGTAATTTATAAACACGTATGTATGCGCGAATAGGTTTAATAAGAGAGATAAAAGGAAAAAACATCGGTATCGTGGCTATATCGTGCTATCTTTCTCTTAAAACGAAGCAAGCTGACCAGCCTAGGGCTAAATCGTTTCGTCGAATCGTTTCGGTTGCTCTTACGAAACGCTTCACGCATGGGACAAAAATAAACGTGTATTCGAAAGGAGCGCGTCGTTGGCGCGTCGGTGGCGTCATCGCGATTCGCATGCGCGAAATTATCGAGCGGCTCTGACGAGCGAGAGTCGAGTCGTCGGTTTCGTTGTCTGTCCGTGGCAAGCGTAAACTGAACGGTGCGTGGCGTGACCGTGTGAGTAACGGCCGAGCAGTAGCACGAGCACGGGCACGACGCGACGCAACGCGAATCCAATCTCGAGTCTCGGCTGAAGAAGAAGAGAAAAAAACTAGCCAGTATGGCCACCTCGAGGAGAAGATCGCGCATCTAACAACGGGAGGCGAGATGCCGATCTCAGCCGGTTCGCGGCTGACCTCTGTCGTTCCGTTCGGTTCCTACGTGACCACGTCTCTCGGCTGGCCGTGATTCGAAGGAACGCGCGCCTCGCCTCGCCTCGCCTCATCTCGCCTTACCTCGTCTTGCCTCGCCTCGCCCGCTGTTGTCTCTCTCTTGAAGTGATCGTGGCGACAGAACGCCAGCAGGAATCGCGGCGTGAAAGCACGAGGAGGGCTGGGCATGGCCACTCTGGCTGGCAGCTCGTCGTCGGGCCTGGCCAGGCCACCGACCATGCTGGAGCAGCTTCTCGAGGAGATCAATTTTCAGAGGACCAAGGAGCTCCGACAGATGCTCAAGGATGGTTCGTATGATTCTGACATGTATTCCGATTGATTTTGAAGTTTCTGAGTTTCGCAGTCGATGTTTTTAAAAACGGTCGTTTTACGCGGGGTCTCGAGTCGTGGAGTCGTTTTGAGAGAAGGGAGGAGGGAGTGCACGCGACGAGGGTGTGTTCCTCTCCACGGAGAGGGACCACGGTGCCTTTTGTTCCGTTGACGAGGGTGATTTCACGATCGATCATCCTGTACGAGGGGAAAACGAGTAAAACGAGTCTAACTACGGTGTTCTCGCTCCTATTTGCTTTCGTTTGGGGAACATTTATTTTCGGTAAACTGGTCTTTCGCGTACGCGTCGTATTCGTCCATGCGTCGTTTCACTCTCTTCACTGTTTAATATTGTACAACGAGTGAAAGGCGAAAAAGAATCGATTTCAATAAATTTGCACTCTTAATTATATAGTATAGGTTTAGATGGAAAACATAGGAAGGAAAAACGCTTCGAAACAAGCACGATATGCGATGTTAATGCATGCGTGTCTAATGTAATGTTGTTACGTACGTTGTTTTTTTTTTCTCCACTTTCTATTTCGAATATCCTCGAAATCGTTGTTGTTATTAATCGATTATCTCTCGATTCTGTATGTATCTTTTTGTAAGATACAACAATGTTTACGCGAATAACGAATAATCATTAAATACCGGTTCGTCGTTCCATAAATGTAATACGACGCGATGCGGTGTCAACAAACAATTACACACACGCTGCGCGTATGTGTATGACTCAACTGCCATTTCCTCTTGTGAAATCATCATTTCCATTCTTCAAACGATGAATTTTCAAACGAAAGATTTTTTTTTTCTCCAACGATGAAAAATTAATATAAAAATTAATACAACCGTTCCACGCATCGACAAGAAGATTAATAAATAAACTATTTATACAGGATCGCAAGCTATTTTCGCTTTAGACAGCCGGGAGGTCAAGTTTCATCCAAGTTTTTAATAAAGTCGTGCAACCCTTTAATAAAGCGGATGAGGGAATCGTTGAGATGTCGAGGTTGACAATAGAGGCTGCAATTAAATACTCGTGGTACATTCTTATCGATTATCGATTGCGGCTCGAAGATTCGGTCGTGGCTAGTTCCTGTTCCCTTGGAAATTATTTCGTCTCGTTGCTCCTTCACGGATAATCGTCGAGTTGACCGCGTTATTGCCGTTAATTGAAAATATCAATCTTTATTTATTTATTTATTTATTTTTTCCATCCATTTGACCTTTCGCATCCTTTATCTATCTTTTCCTCTTATAATTCTTTTCCTCTTCGTAATCTAATCGAACCACCATACACATTTGCTTTTTTCTTTTTTTTTTTTTATTAATTTCTCGTCCATGTTCCATCCTGCAGACTCCGGCTTCGTGATACTTCAAGGTACAACCTACTGGACGGACCTGTTTGTCAGGCACTTCCTCTTCCAGGCAGAGCACACGATCGACGGCGACGATTTGCTGTTCTTCGTGCGAAAGAACACGTGAAGACGTCGTCGAGATACTTGCCAAAATTCGAGACGGAGGTGGACGTGTTCCGGAAGGACAGCAAGAAGCTACCTATCGGCGATCCCGACATCGATTGGGAGGAAACCGTGTACCTGAATCTGGTCGTGCATCAATTCGATTACACGCTGACCTTAGCTATCTGCACAAGGACGAGCCCCAAGGAATTGCAAGTGAGCCGATTCTTCCAAAAATTTTCTTTTTTCTCTTCTTTCCCCCAACTTCTTTTACGTTCTCTCTTCAATTATAATAAAAACCGTTTCAGGTATTACGCAGGCATTCGCAAAAAGTGTACGCGAGCCCCAGCCGAAGACGAATGGACGCGAAGGGTGATCTCGAGGAGATGACTTATCCGCATATATGCTTCATGGTGGACAATTTCGACGAAGTTTTCTGTGATATTCTAGTCAGGGACGGGGAGATGGTGTGCGTGGAATTGGTGGCGTCCGACAGGGAGGGCGCGATTCAAGGCGTCATATTTCTCGGCTCTATCAGATACGATGCCCTGAAGAAAGTATACGACGCCAGGGTACGTTTTATATTTTTATCAACGAATTATACTCATTTACATGCATATATGCGGCTATTTTAAACGAACCACGTCCCATCGTTTTCACTTCCAGTCCAGCTTGAGCACGAAAATGGCGCAGCGAATGACCTTTGGCCTGTTTTCCGGCGCGGCCTCCCAGCGCATAGAATTCGTTCGAATGAAGGGACCTCGTGGTACGATACGTGGAAATGTCTCTTCTGCCACGAACAGATTTCCATTTCTCTCTTTCTCTTTTTATCTACTACTCTTTGCTTCTGCTCGACCATGAAAGAGCGCTACACTTTTTTCCCCTACCTTTCAGGGAAGGGACACGCGGAGATGGCTGTGACAAAGCCGAAGGGCTCGGGAGCGGAAACACCGACCTCGGAGCCCGGCTACTGCGCCACGGATTCCCTGTGGGACGCCGACTGGGACGACGCCGAGGAACTGTTTTTGTATCGACATCAACGAAGGCTATCCGACCCGAGCGCGAATCTGAACAATTTCGTCCGTGGCGGGTGGAGGACGAAACCGGACACGGCCGCGACCAAGGCAAGATCGGAGAACGAAGGTCTGGACTCGATGGCGAACGGGTTGAACGAAATCGAAGCAGGAGACGTTCGTGACGGTAACTAGAAAATCTCTGAAATACCCACCGATTGGAAATCCGTCGGAGTTGGACGAAGCCCGGGACGGAAGGACGAATTTACTCTTTCTCACTTACCTTCATCCCGTTCTCTCTCTCTCTCTTTCTCTTGTGCCTGCGTCCCTCGACTGTGCATGCTGTTGTGTTACGTATCTGTGTATTCTGCACATTTCTCTTATCTCGAGGATAGATTGGTCGATGATGATCCACCCAGGAGTCCATCTCCACGACTTAAATTTTATTCGCAAGTATTTTCAATATTCTCGTTGGGATTATAATTTTGCTACTTTGCTCGCGTTTATTGGCCCGTTTATTTTTCGCAAAATTTCAGTTTGGAATGACGAGGATGGAAGCGCGGTAGTTGCATGCTTCCAACGATATATATACATTTGTATATGTATGTTTTTCTTTGCCATTTTTTTACTCTCGCGCGAGTAGTCGCAAAGATGGTATCATCTTTGCGGCTAGTTTTTATTACTCGTCGATACGGCTAAGCTCGAGCTCGGTTCGGAAGAATCCAGCGCTTGACCCGTGCTCTTGTATTTCCTTCAGACCATCCATCAGCGCCACGAGACGCGGTGTTTCGATACGTTTGCAGATTGCTAACTTTTCGTCTCGAAAAAACGCAGAGAAACGAGAACAGAGATAAAAAAAAAAAAAAAAGAAAAAACATACGAGACACGTCTGTAGAGGAGAAACGGCTGTAGACCACCATCACCACCACCGCCACCACCACCACCACGCGCGAATCTCGTACGGAATGAAAGATCGGAACCGAAAAGAAAAGAAAAAAAAAAAAGAATACGAACGGAAAAAGAAATCGAAATCGACGAAAGAAAAAAAAAAAAAAAAAAAAAAGAAAATACCTTGTCTCTAATCTGTGTCACGTGCCATTCCGGCTCTTTCCTTTGTAGCCGACCTACAGGATAGCAGCTGGGGCGGCCGGGGCTCACCAGGAAATCACAGGAGTCCGCACGTCAGGCGACGAAGATCCCCTCACGTAGTTCCCGGCAGGCAACAACGGCCGAAACACAAGCAACGTAACTCGTGGGAACGTAGCGAAAACGAGAACGCAACGCCGAATCACAAGGAGGCCTATCACGACAACACACACGGTGAGCGTGCTCCTGCGTGTTTCCAGCGATCCTTCTTCGTCTCTCCCGCTATAAAGAAACGGAAAAAAAAAAAAAAAAGAAAAAGAAAAAGAAGAAAACCAAAACTTTGCAACTCCTCGACAAATGTAAATGAAATGAAATGCGTGCGTGCACGGCGGGCGTAAGCGACAGAGACGAAATTATCGCAGAAAAACTCGACACGAGCGCGCCCACGGTGATACACTCGACGATACGAATTGTCCGGTTGGTGGCAGGCCTCCAGAATCACCAGCACAACCATATCGAGGTCGGTAGCGAGATACTCGTGCCAGCGGCCCCTTGCCTCACGGACGACAACGTGAGACAGAAGCTGGACGCGGGCGCGATACTGGTGCATGGGAAGGAGGAATTGCCGTTGGGGGGATACGAGGAGGAGGCGGACAATAACAGGAAACGAAGGCCGTACAGCACCGGACAGATCAATCACGAGCGGATCAACAACCTGGAGAACGACGAGGAGCATCGACAGCTGAGCGACGACGAATTGGTGAGGGTCCGTCGAACGGACGGGCGCAGGCGTCTACGCTCGGCCGGCTCCGACCAGGAGGAATACTACACGGGGCGGAACAAGAACAAAAACGACGACCAGTTGAGAGATAAAAACGCGAACGCCCGTATTACGCGCGGCAACCTGGCCACGCACAGGCAGAGCGCCACCCTGCCCAGAAGGAGGCGAAGACGAGCGTTGTCCGGCAGCTTCGCGGGCAACCCACTCCCGCCCCATCGCGTCACGCCAGACGGAACAGCTATCTACTATTGGTGCGAGCTCCCGCGCCGCCCCGGCTCACAGGGTAAATTCTTCTTCCCCCTGCTCAAAAAAAAAAAAAAAACAACCTCTACACCATATATATATTATATATATATATATATATAGACAATCGATCACGCGCCCACGCGTTGATACACGGTTGATCCGTGAACGACCGTTCATCTTTCGCGGATTTTCCAGCTTAAGCTTACGCTTTCTCGAGTAACAGAGATGGGCAAAACGGTTTTTTAACGGTTCCACGCATCGCGGAATTCAATGTAAAAAAGTGTGGGAACGTATTTGGCCATATTTGGAAGCTATATCCGCGATGCGTTGAGAGTAAAGTTATTCGAAAGCGGCAAATGATTATTACGAAAATGAATGTAAAATATTCGAGAGTTTTTTTTTTTTTTTAAGATAAAAATCGGTGAGAATAAGTTTATTCGAAATTTTAATTTTGATTAATTTTTAGTGCTCGACTCTGCCTCGTGAAAAGTAAAACAGAGTTTTGTCCCCGGTAAGTGGATTCTGTTGCGTGATCAGAGAGTTTTGTTTCGAAGCATGGAGCAAGAGTTTGTTTTGTTTACACTCTAGGATTACCCTTTTTGGTTTTGCGAGAAATTTAAATTGAAATTTTTATATGCACAGGATAACTAACGGTCGTTCATCGAGCAGCTCGTGTGCAACACCCAAAACGTTGCAGTCATGTTGTCCATTGTATTCAATCCAATTCTTGTACATTCATACATTACCTGCCTTAGGAAGGTACGACCATGCTCAGCCAATGACTGTGTTTATGAGGATGGTGAAATTACAATGGCAACGGGGGGAGTGCGAGACACTTCTAATCGGACAAATTGTAACCGTGCACAGCGTTGGTGGTGGTTTCTGATCGACAAATTTTCTAATCGACGCGTTTCGAAACGTTCGTGATTACCAAAAAAAAAAAAAGAAAAAAAAATAACGGCAATTTCGTTTCGTAACCGCGAGTGTTTCACCACCGGTATAAACATGGTCATCCACGATTAGGGACAAGCATTCACTGACACCGATAAGAAACGAAATAGAAACGAAGTAGAATTCGATCTGTGTGGTAGCGACAACGATTGATTCATCTTCTCTTTCTGCATCACAACGTTCGATTATTTGGAGAAAGGAACGAAGGAGGCGAGGCAGGAAAAAAAAAGAGATGGGAAAAAAAGATCAAACGTTGTGTACGTAGAAAGAAGAAGAAGAAGAAGAAAAACTAGTGCATCCCTGTTCGTGTTTATTCTATTTTCTGCGCACCTGTAGCTGATGTGCATCATTGTAAAAAAAAAAAAAAACAACCTCAACATATTTTTTTCGTGTTACTACACCTTACTGATCCTCGTTTACCAACAGTTACTCTACTTATAATACTGCCATTCCGCGTCACAAATTTGAACAAATCTTTGATTCGGCAAACCTGGTTCGATTCTATCGCTTCCAAAGTGACCCGTCCTCTGCAACTGCTTCCATCTGACTGATCGACACGAATCATTCCAGGATCTTAACGAATCGGCGAGACAGATTCGTTGGCAATAATCGGTTGGTTCTATGTGTGCCGGCAGAGTTGGACGACGGCGCTTACAACCCTCTGTGGACGATGCGAGGATTCACGCAAACGTTCCACTTCTGGAAAGAGACCAGACGAGCCCAATCCGTTCCTCTCAATGCGTTTCTCACGTACATCACTCTGCCTTGGTGGAGCATTGCCAAAGGTGAGACAATCGAAACACTTCGTCACGGATAAATTCGTTATGATTAATTTTCACGCTTTCTTTCAGATATTCTCGATCATCGAGAAGGACCTATCTTAACGTTCTAGCCAACACGAGGATGTCCCATTTTTATTTCTATCGGATCTCTCTTTTCGTTCCCCACTTTGTACGCACTTGGATAGAACGCGCGTGGCCCAACAAAATCGAAGTGTATAGAATAAGAAATAAACGAGATACTATTTATAATTCCGTGCCATTCGATTTATTTTTCTCGCGGCCATCTACGAACGAATCGAGGAAACGACGAATTATCTATTAAGAATAGAAGAAATCACGATTACGATATGGTGATTAATGGACACGTTTAATAAAAAAAAAAAAAATTTCTCCTCGACTACCAACGATTTATGCAAAAGTGTTTCTTCCACCTTCGTTCGTATACCAGATGGTTCAACTGACGTTATTCGCGAACACGTTCAAGTAGTCACCAAAATTAATCCACGTGTGGTCCCAGTAATCTGGATTTGCTCTCTTATCCCACGGCAGGTTACCAGGTAATACCGCGGAGGCGTTTAACACGCGTAGCCTCTCTTTCAGATCGGACACAACGGACGGATACCTTGAAATAACGAATGAATAATATTTCTCTTCTTTCTTCTCATCTATCCTCCCTCTAAAGCTTCCTATTTCTACCTACTTCTCTATAAGATTATTGTCCTCGCAGGGATCCTGGCGGACGTTGAACAAACAAGGCGCCTCCAACGGTTTGCACAACGGCAGATTATCATTTCTCGGGGGACACTTGATCATGGCGTCCTCTCGAAGCTTGCGAATATTATCCGCGGACAAAGACAAGCCCACGCTGGCCACTGCTCGGCCGGCTGCGCTCCCAATCACGCCTCCAACGTCGTACACCCACTCTCTCCCGGATGGACCGTACCAACCGTCCCATTGGCCGTTATAAGTGGACCCTTGGGAAAAGAATTTCGAACGAATTTCAATCCGGATCGAATTTTCCAATCGCGTGGATCCTCGATCACGCAAGATACGATCACTTTTTTACCCTGAATGAATTTCCAATCGCCGTACGTGATCCCGGCCACCCCGTATATGTCGTCGATATTGTGGAGGACCATTTTCCTCGGTGATTCCGTGTCCTCGCTCAACGCGTGCCAAATATCCATACCGTCGATGGTCAAATTCGATGGATCACCACCGGCGGCTGTTAGAAGGGTCGGTAACCAGTCGCTGATGTGAATCAATTGCCTGCCGACTCTTCCAGGCTTTATTAGTTTCGGCGACCACAGAAGGCCGACTCCTCTCACGCCACCTAATCCACGGACAAATTGGATAACCTTTTTTTTCTCTCCTCCCCTCTCCTCTTTTCTTTTCTCGTCCATTCATCCTTCTTTACATTCGAGTTACATTCAATTAAGTATTTTGTTTTTTTTTTTTTTTTTTGTCTTTTTTTTAGAGATACCTTCCCAGAGAGTATTTTTCGTGCCCCTCAGGGGCCAATTCGAGGCAGCGTTTAGGTTAAAACCGGCCGGCGCGCCCCCATTATCCGTGGAGAACACGATCACGCTGTTCTCCAGCATCTTTCTCCTCCGCAAAGCTTCCACCACGAGGCCAACCGACTCGTCTAACTTGCTCAGTATGCCTGAAAAAAAAAAAGGCACGAAATTACCTTATTACTTTTTCTCAACTAACTGGGATGGAAGAAGTATTCGTTAAGCGTTTCTTACGTACACGAGGAAGCTTAATCTCATTACGCGGTTTATGTTTGATCGAAGGGATCAGAAGAGAATGGAAAAATCGATTCAGATCGACCGATTCTTACAAAATAATTTAAATTCGTAAACAGAGAATTTTCGAGAAATAAGGATACTCTAATTACCAGCAAAGCGTCTACGGTTGTAATTGAAAATGTTGGTGAACTTGGCGACGTCCTGGTCGTGTGCAGGCAGGGGATTGTAAGGATTTCCGGAGTGGACTGCGGCGTGGGCCAAGTAGAGGAACATGGGGCGACTGGTGTTGTGATTGTCGATCAGTTTCACAGCCTCCTTCGTGAACACGTCCGTGGAATATTGGCCGTGGAGGTCCCAGGCTGGCTCCAATCCTCTCCTCATGTCCAATCCCCAATACGGCTACGTTTAAACGGAATTGAACATTGGCTCGCGAATAGCGATCACGAATTCGAATCTCTTACTTCTTCCACGGCACTGTGATCGAAATAATCGTGGTGGCCGCTCCAGAAACCTATGTGCGAGTCGAACCCCCTGTACATGGGCGTATATTCCTTCGTGTAGAATCCCAAGTGCCATTTCCCTACTATGTGCGTGCTGTAACCGAGATCTCGAAAATATTCTGGCAACAGTTTCTCGTGGAGAGGCAATCCTCTCGGCTCGGCGCACTTCAGAACCTGATTCAGCAACGCGTCTTTAATCATTCTCATTTCGTTTAATTATTATCCATCGTGTAGAAATTTAATCTTTGTAATACACAATTTTGTAATACAATTCATGTTCTACTTTTGCAAACGAGAAACACAGTAGAAAGCAAAGATCAGATCGTAGAAAGCAAATGCAATATAATTGAAACGTACAGGTGTTTGTTCATTCATGTTCACTTTTTTCAAATCAAATTCACTCACTTTCTCTTCAGAGAGAAAATTGATCGTGTAATCATTCTTTACTATTTTTTTTTCTAACGAATGAACTCGATTGAAGAAATTTCTTTGAAAATTAAATTTTGCGCAAAAAAGATATCTTGATTCTTGAACCCTTGATAGTTGATCCATCAACTCGTATTGAATAAATATTTTTACACATGGAATAAAATTTTCGCATGGAGTGGATTTGGTTTGAAAAATCTATATAATATGAAGCAGCAAAAACAATAACATCGATCAATTTCTATAATCTTTGATCCGCAAAGATGCGTGGAAAAATTGGCGCAAACTCGGTGACACCGTGTTATGATTCCCCCACTCCCTATAAAACAGAAACAAGCATTGTTCGAGAGCAACGAACCACGAATTAATATTTGCGCTTGTTGAGGCCGCCTTAAACCGACGTCATTTTATTTACAAGTCGATTGCTTAAATACTTAATGACGGTGTACCCCGTGCTGCATTCCGGTATGAATAGGATGCTTGCCGGTCATCAAAGCGCTCCTGGACGGGGTACAGATCGGGCTGACGTAGTATCGGTCCAGCAACAGGCCCGAGTACGCCAGAGCATCGATGTTCGGCGTCGGAATTTGACCCGATCCGTGAAACCCGACGTCGTTCCATCCCTGTTCCAACGGATTCCATTACGCTCGTTAATCGAGATACCATATTTATCGCGAAAAAAAAATTGCATCTGCTGTTCTTTGCACGTTTCAGCAAGTTAATAGAACGAAGCATCGAAGATACGGAAAACAATCGTAAATGAAATTTAAAAGAAAATGACATATTAACGACGACATTTAGTGATGAAAAGAATTCTTTTTAACCTTCGAGTTTCCCGGTAGAATTCATGACGCAATGTGCGCGACAATTATCGTAGCAAAATAAGATATCTATGCTACTGTGTTCGCATTGGTGTCGAGTAAAAAAATTGCAAAACGTGATTCAATCGATTTTTTCCCTTTTTTCCTGGATCTTCGACCAGAAGAACACCAGAATGTCGATAATAATTTTAAAACTTGATCAAGCAACGCAACACCAAGAAGAAGAAGAATCTCACCAAATCGTCGGCAAGGATAAACACAATATGCGGCCGCGCAGCCACATGACCGACCACGAACACTGTCAGACAGAGGCATAACGTTATTCCTCGAATCCGTATCATCTTGAAAATCACGTCCATTCGATTGACACTCGTCTTTCGTGGGATTGCAAACCGGTTTACTCCTTATTTACGTAACGATTTATCGATATTTTCCGTTCGTCGCGAACTCAAACGAATTTCCGATAAAATATACGCACGAACGATACGAGTTTACGAGATATCTGGTTCGAGTACATCCGGAAAGAGCGAAAAATACGGACGATAAAGTAAGTGTATAGATACGTGCACGATAACGACAAGGAAATATTTTTTCGACGAAACGGAGAGGCGAGCACTCGGGGCGACGACCGGTGCTAAACTGTTCACAGCTCGCATCCTCTTGCACGATAGCGAGGCCCGCCTCCCACTTCGAACACTTCGTCTTCTTCGTTCAAGGTTGGACGAGGATTTCGAGGATTGCTTGGGTCGTTGACACGATGGGATCGAAGATGATGCGTGGAGAACGGAAACGTTTGTAGCATCGAAAGAACGTTGCTTGGATCGTGGCCATTTATTAACACGAAATGCGAAAAGTAAAGGAAGGAAATGATCTAATTATCTGTAGAGAACAAGAAATGTTAAAAGTGGAAATAGTCGAAAATTGAACCATTGTGGAATATCAACAGATGAGTAAAGGTGATAAAGTAAAATGAAAATGATGAAAGGAAAATTCAGAGTCAAGGGTGGTTGTTATGTGATCGATGAAAGTGGAACGAGATGTTAACAGAAAATGGCCGAAAATCGAGGGTGACTATTATTACTCGATCGTGAAAATGGAGGCAGGGCGATTAAGATTGTTATCGAGCATCGGCCGCGGGTGATGTAATTGCTACGAAAATGGAATTGCGTCGAACGAAGAAGGGAAGAGCGAAATCGAGTTGGGGAATCAGTCGAAGTTCGTCTTTGGATCGTGACGGACCCTTGTTATGAATAAAAACAATCGCTCTCTATAAGAATCTGTCCAATGGAAATTAAATAAAGCTATTGAATGATTAAAGCGTAAAGCTTCATCGACTAGAATTGAGTCTGATTATTGTCACTTGACCTGCAACCCGCAACCGCGATGTCACTCGCTTCCGCCATAATTTCGCGATAATTCTAAAAAAAATAAAATAGAAACGGATTGTCACGGAGATTGAGTGTACGTGTTAGTCGTTTCTCGCGATAACGATGTCTATCGGGCCACCTTGGAACACTTTCTTATCAATTTCTACGCTGATTGCTAATGCCACTGTGGAAAACAGACTCACTTACGACGAGTTGGTGGACAAAACGGTACTTAAACTCCTGATTCCTAATTGCGAGAATAATTTCCCAATCGAATGAAACCTAATAATCCCATCTTCTTCCAACAAACAACACAATTTTAAAATTCGTGAAATATATATGTATCCAATTTCTTAGATGAGCATCGTTCGAACCTGTACGATGGTCCATTCATACGACGCTCTTCTGTTAGCCGGAGAATACGAGGATTTCTTTCAACGATCGTTACTCGACGATATACCAGTTGCCTTGATCTCAGAAGCGAAGTCGACAGCGTTCGAGCTGTTCACTCTGAGCAAATACTCGTTCAACATCTACACGCAGTTCTCGTTCCTGTATCTAGTTTGGAAATTGAACCAGTTCGTCATCGTTGCGTCCTCGCAACCGTTGCTTCGACTCCTTTTGCAAAAGACGAAGGACTCTGGCTGGGCCAATTTCACCGGTTTCCACATTCTCATAGATAGAAGAACCGTGGAACACGGTTGCGTGAACGCTTACAACTTTCTTTGGGCCGCCTGGGAATACGACAGACTTTCCACGATATTTCTTTGCATCGATCCTGTCGAAGGACTTGTCCTTTACACCTATAATCCTTATTCGAGCGTGGCACCTAGAGCTTGGAAGGACGTTGGACATTTTAAGGGACGCAGTGGACATCCTTGGATACTGTTGAACAAAGATACAGAGATGGCAAGTTTCTTCGCAAACTTTTTCCTTTTTTTTTTTTTTTCGATTATCTTATAAAATCGGTAAAATTGATGTTCCGATGATCTTGATGTATGCTATCAAACATCCTCTCCTTGATGATTTTTAAGAAATTTTATTAATTTACAATGCCTAATTCATTTTTTAATTAAGTCGAGAATGGAATAATTTCACCTACCTTAGATCTCCTGCGTTGAAACAATAACTTTCGATACTTAAAATAACTGCTATATCTTGCAAATTCTTTTGTTAATAACTCGTTAATAAAAAACGAGCGACTAAAGTCTAAAGTCTCTTAAGAATCAGGAGAGTGATCTTCGTAATATATTTCGAAGCTGTCCTACTTAAACGTACTTACTAAAAAAAATCTAATTAATTAATTCAACGATATAAAAGATTCGAGGCTATGCGAGAACTTGATATTCGACAAGACGAAGGATTTAAACGGCTACGAGATCAGATTGAACGCTATATCCTTCGAGCCTCATCTTCAAATAGATCGAAGCAAGCCAGGTTTGCAAAAGTTCACCGGCGACAATAGCGAGATCGTGAAACTGGTGTTGGTGAAGTTAAACGCGAGTCTGAACGTGCGAGTGTACACTGGCAGTGTGTACGATCTCGGTGGAGTTGGCAAGCATGGGAGCATGGTGGGAATGATGGCCGACGTGGCTAACGGCGAGGTGGATATGGGAATGAACGCGAGAAGCCTGCACAACATGTGGAAGGTCGAGTACGTGTCTCATCGAGTTTAAACACGAAACGAACGTGGGGGCAATGGAAACAATGGAATATTATTTTTATCGTAGGCACACGTATCCTCACGGAGACGATGGTCTCTGCGTGATCACTCAGAGGACAGGAGAAATAGCAGAGTTCGTCAAACTGTGGTCCTTCACGGCGCCGATCGTACACATAGGCAACTTTGCCATGCTCACGGTCGCTCTTGTGATTCTCGCGAAATATCAGGGATTTTGTCCAGCGTTTATGAATATCATACGCATGATGACCTTCGTTCTATACGTAAACTGCCGAGAACCAGTTCCTGCAGAATTTTCTTCTGTAGCGTGTTCGTTTTGTATTTGATAGTGAACGCGTTGGTGCAGAGTCATTGGGCTTCGTTGCTCACCATCCCCGTTCCTCTGCCGAATATTAGAACCGCGCAGGATCTCAAGGTACTTTAAATTCTTTCTTACTATCATTTCTTAATAATGTGATGAAAAATTAAATTTGGAATTTTGATTCGTTTTTCTAATAAAATTGTTCGGTAAACGAACGATTATATGTTAGAGTCACTTTTTCGCGTGATTTAAATACATGCGTGATAAGTAAAATCGAACTTTGAAAAGTAACCGAGATATTTCAGACGTTATGTGAAACATTTGGTATATTCCTGAATTCTTTAGAATTAAAAAAAAAAAAATGTTGAAAAATACTCATTGCCGCAAAAAAGTGATAGCACTCATAAAAGTATGCAAAAAATATTATTAGAATTAAGAAATATAGAATCGAAATTTTTAATAGCAAAAATTTTTATCGATGTATCAGGAGAATATAATAGGATAGGAAGTGATATGCAAAATTTTGCCAGGAGTTCTAAATCCAAAAATTTTTGATCGAAATTTCGATTTTGTATTGTAGAAGAATATAATTGGACAAAAATGATATATAAAATTTTCTGGAATTTGGTGTATTTTTTTAATATATATATAGATATAGAAACGTAAAAGTATAGCTTATAAATTATATATTATATAATACATATGAAATACATAAGAATACAAAATTATATACAATTATATACAAAAAAATTAATATATTGGTATATCAAACAAAGAAGAAATTTAAGTTAAAACAGATAAATTCCGAAGCTGATTTCTATATGCATAAATTTACGACAAGTATAAATAAAGAGAATAAATAATAGGACAAGGATAAAGATAGCATAAAAATATGAAAATCAACGCCATCTTCAGAGTGCCGCAAATGAAACACGTAAAAAAAAGGAAAGTAAATAATAAAAGAAGGATAGAAATAAAGATAAGAAATGACAATTAACGCCATCTCAAAAGAATAAAGTAAAATAAGAAATCTCTTGAGTTATTCCTCGTGCTCGAGAGATGGTGCTGTCGGTCAATTCTTATTTTATCTCTATCTTTCTCCTACTATTTTCTATCCTTATTTATTTAGTTTCATTTGCGGCACTCTGGAGATGGCGCTCATTTTCATATTTTTATCCTATCTCTATCCTCCTCTCACTATTTACTATCTTTGTCTATACTTTGTAAAATTTACGCAATTTCGATATTTGATTAACTTTATTCTCTTCTTCTTTGTCTAACCTATTGATTAAAAATCTTTTTATCGATTTATTCGATTTATTAAAAAATTACACTCTCTAGTATATATACACATATTTTATTCCTTACCTATTCATTTATAAAAATAACTGAATTTCGTCATTGACAGAATTCTGGCTATCAGATCTATGGTTCCATGTTTCACGAGCTAGAGCTTCAAGATCCTATACTACGATCACGTTTTCACGAGGACACCTATTATGCCTGCAAGCAGCATGTGCTTGGATCGCGATACGCTGCTTGTTTGGGCGACTGTGAACATCAATACGTGAGAATTCAGAACGATTATCTGTATCGATCCAAAAAGATACAACAAAATCTGCAAATCTACGTAGCTAGAGAGAATTGGCCACTGCTTCCTTCCGTAACAGAGAAGATTCATAGAACAGTGGAGAGTGGGATAAGCTCAATGTGGAAAAAATTTAACAAAAGAAATATAGTTCGGGCGTGGAAGAAAAGACAAATGAACTATAAGAGAGGCTTTAGAACGTTGAAGATCAGACACATAGCGTTTACTTTCTACGCACTCGCGATTGGAAATTTTTTTGCAATTATGATTTTTATTTCAGAGATTATCGTCGGAAGGAAACGTGTTCGAGATCGTCGAGATCGAGTTGAAAGATTTGACTAAATTATAGAAAATGTAAATTTGAAAATATCGATTGTAATAATTTTACGATAATTTTACGAGTGTATCGATTGATTCTGCGAAACAGTCTCTGTAACGAAGAGAGTCTTTGGGGATTTGAAAAGTGTTCTCGGGAATGCCAGTTTCACATATATGTATTATTGCATTATAAATGTCGCGACACGAGGAATTTTCGTTCTTAATAACGATAAAGTCGAAGCAATGAGTATCACGAAACATACATTTTTAATCTTGACAGTACAATGGCAAATGTTAATAGTGTTCGCAAAGCTTCGAATAAGTTTGGACCAGTTTGAAGTTTTAACGAAGGAATTGGTAAAGTTGTTTTATTCAACGAATTTCTTTTTATTTTCTTAAGTAAGTAAAGCATTACAGTGATCAAGATATTTCCTTTTGTAGAGCTTGGTGTTGAGTGCTTGCAAAAAGATAGAAGTAAACAACATTGGTGTTGTAACTAATTCAAGGACATTTGTTCAACCGTCTCTAAAGGCGGTTCCTTTAATAAATATCAACGACGTTGATTATCTCTCACGAGTTGAAAGAGATCAAAATCTGCACACATTCGTCATGATTCCGTCGACTCTTGAACATTTAGAAACTGCAATAACGAAACTAGAACGCACAACCTGGTGGAACCCGTCTGCGCTCCACGTCATCCTAGACGACAACGTTGCACGAAATGGTTGTAGAAACGCTCGTCCTTTTTTAAAAGCCGCTTGGAAGAAAGACCTGCTGTCCTCCATATTCTTCTGTATCACCGAACAGAACCGCAACAGAATCGAATTCAGAATGTACACGTTCAATCCGTTTACCCCGCAAGCACCAAAATCCTGGCAGAAAATAAGAGAATGGAACGAGACAAGCGATCATCCCTGGACCCTGTTTACCCGAACATTTCGTCCTGGTTCGTAAAAGAGCAATCGAGCACATCCACCCGCTTGATCGAAAACTAGTATACAGCCTCGCGTTTCTAGGTCGAGCAACCTGCGGCAATTTGGACTTCGCGAAAACAGGAACACTGGGAGGATACAGAGTGAAGGGGATGGGTCTGCACAACCCTCCCAGCCTGACGATCGATCTGTCGAAAGGAAGTGGAGGCAAGCTGGGTGGTTTCAACGGGATAATAACCGAAATATTGTTGTCCAAGTTGAAGGGAAACCTGAGGGTAACCGGGATCGCGAACGACACTCGTTCCTACAAGTTCCTGCACCTGGTGGCGGATGGAAAGTACGACGTGTTCCTGAATACTCAATACGTCTTCAATAAGCCGAATGTGACCACCACTTATCCCCACGTGAATTCGGGAATCAGTATTCTGACCAGGTATCCGGATAACGTGGCAGTGTACGTGAAGGTGTTGAAGTTCATGAATCCCGTGTTCGTTGCGTGTTGCGCGGTGGTCGGCGTGATCACTGTGCTGATTCTCGAGGTATTCGTAGGTCGAGGAACGATTCACGCGAGTTTGGAAATGATTCGGATAGCGTTAAACAATTCTATGTCGCGTTTCCCTGAACGAGGCGCATGGAGAGTCTACTTGACCACCGTGTTCCTCCTCTTCGTGCTCACCTCTTCGATCTTCCAGAGCAATCTGTCTTCTTTGCTCACCTCGCCGATTCCTAGGCTAACGATAGACTCGGACGAGGAGTTGAGGACGGCTGGTTTCGAGATCTACGCGTATCACGGATACAGAAATGCCGTGTTCGACGACGTCCTGTTCGCTCGAGTCAAGATGGTCGATCATTGGGATTGTAGCGAGTACGTGAGGAAATATGAGGACGTGGCTTGCGCCGCGGACAGGACCACGTTGCTGAAAATCGCTTTCGAAAAGAAGCTTCATCTTTCGAAGCATAGGATAAATACTTTGTTCTCGGCATACGTGGTTCGGCCTAATTGGCCGTTGAAAGATAGATTCACCTCGATGTTGTTGCACCTGTCCGAGACCGGATTGATCGATCATTGGTGGGGAAAGGTGATGGCCAAATACGTGCGCAAATGGTTGAAGAGGACTGACGAGGATGAGAAGAGAAATTTCAGCGTGCTGACGTTGAACGATCTTGACTTTGCGTTCTACATCCTCGCGTTTGGGCTTTGCGCGTCGACATTCAGCTTTCTGACAGAGATATCGACGCGCCGCCTAAGAATAACGCTCGAGAGGAGAAAGAACAACGACTCTCCCGTTTTTCCGTTCGCTCTTTGAGATTCGCTCTTTCTTCTTTTTGATTTGACGAAATTTATTCCTTCGTTGTATAATAGTTCGTTCAAGACGATTCGAAGAACCAGTTACACCAGATATATAATATAATTTCGTAAGTGGAACTAAGCGGGGGAAGATTGAAGAATAAATGTTAATTGGTCAATATTGTATTTATTCCTTCACTTTATTTTAAACAATTTGTTCATTCGAAGGATCTCGTAAATCCCCGTAAAATGAATATGTTATAGTAAATACGTTCCTTTTTACAATTTATACCATGTACACAATAATAGCAATAATAATAATAATAATAATAATTTTAATAATAATAATAATAAAATTAATAATAAAATTAATAATAATGATAATAAGAATATAATGATAATGAAGGTGATGATGATAACTAATAATTAATAATTAATAATAATAATAATTGTGATAATTATCATTATTATTATAATAAGATTAATAATGCAAGCTTAAGGCGCAAAACAAACAAAACATAGAGTATAAGACCATAGTGAAACCATCGTCTCCACTTTTAGACGACGGTTATTTAACTATCTTTTTATGTACGCAATTTACAAACCGTTTGTCAGCTGCGCATTAAATCTCTCTCTTCCTCTATCTTTCTCTCTCTCTTCTCTCTCTCTCTCTCTCTCTCTCTCTCTCTCTCTCTC